GAGGGCCGGAGCGAGCTGAAGAGTTGCCGCGCAGGACTGCTCGGCTCGCAAGTGCGTCGATAGGCTTCCCAGACGGTGCCCGATCCCCGCCAGTCGGCGGTAAAGTCGCCCACCATCGACTTGACGCCGCCTGAAGAGTCTTGCACTGTGAGATTAGGATACTTTTGGTGCTCCCAAGGCACAAGGATACGACCCTCCGCTTTGGCGTTGACAGGAAAGTCAAGATCAGGTAGCTGCACGTCGTTAGAGTACCTAGGATACGAGATGCTTGCCATAGACGTACCCGCTGCGCGAACGGCTCGAGCATTCGTCTCAAACCGTGTGCACGCGCACTGGCTTCTGGGTCGTCAAACCCTTTCTCCAGATTCACCGCAAAACTCTTCCCATCTCTTACACGCACAATATCGATGGAGGGTAACGAGCTGACCTATTACCATCTTAGCGCGGTTGCCATGTCTAGTGAAATGCTACTCACTTGTTGCACCCGTCTTCGGAATTCCTCCCCAGACAGCACTCTGTACGGCGCCAGATCCTCCATAAGCCCGTCAAACTCATCCATCATCCTGAACTCATTCTTTTTCGCGAACGCGAACCACTCCTCGAATCCCTTCGGCGGGTCCATGTCGTACCTCCTCCGGTACTCCGCGGCTGCCGCTTCCACCGTCTGACTCTGTCTATCCAAAAGCGCCTTAAACTTCTCCTCCGCATCCTTCATGAGTTTTGGAATAGGGTGCTCGCTAACTTTGCTGCCAGCAAGCCCGAACGCGTCGACGGACAGCCATTTCTGGCTCGGCCTCTGGCTTTTGTACCCCGCGAAGACGCCACACTGCACCGAGACAAAGAACACCGCAAAAACAAATATTAAACCACGTCGCGATGCCCAGGCGGCGTCGACGGCAGCCATAATGGAGTGAGATGGTCCTCGCTCGAGGTCGATGGCATGTGTGCGCGACGAAGCCGCCAGCCACCGCGACAGCGGATTCTGTTTGCGCCTGTTTGGCATCGTCCGCCACCCGCTGCTCGAGCTGGCTGCCAGTGGTTCCATGAACGTCTGCAACAGTGACCACGACAGCGACGAGGGATCTGCAACAAGAGCGCGCAGGAATAGAACGCAGAAACCCGTTTGCTTAAAGTTCGGCGGCTTTTCATCAGCTTTCATCAGACGCCCGACTACCACGCCCTCGGATCCGATTCTAGTTCGCCGCTAGGCCCGTTGTTCTGGCGCGTGGTCATTCTCGGTTCTGCTCCCATCGAACGTCGGCCTCAGCTGTGGCGACCTCTTATATGTTAAACGAAGTGAATTATCCATCCGTTGGCATGGATGTCTGTCAATACACGGGCGCCATGCCACGTCGTTCGTCTCATGCTATTCAAGTTCACAGGAGCATCCATCTGATTTTCCTCCAAACGGAGAATCAAAACCCACGAACTCTGGAGCGCACTGGTTCTAGTCTCTGCTTGGCTGGAAAATCAGCCGCTACCTCGCTCGTACCACGCATTTTACTCCTCTTGCCACCTAGCCACCGCGATATAATGCAGCTCCACGACACTCGGATGACCGGCAGTGACAGGAAGTGCCAGACAGCCTTGAGGCGCCACCGCAGCTCAGTACACAAAAAGCCCACGGGAACTTGCCCATGAAGTCACGCACAGGTACGATCAATCCCAAATCAATCCTTGTAAATGTTGACTGCACTATATATATCGCACCGGGGACAAGCTCTCGCGGGTGATACAACGCTTGCAAACGATCACCGCGCAGAACGTATGCCATGCACGCATGTTATACAGTGCAATCCGTACTCTGTACTTTACGTCTGGCAGTTCAAGGATCCGACATCCGACACACCTAGAAGGCGAACATCAGCCACCAGTTCGTCCTGAAACAAGCAGGAGACGTACTTGCGCCACAGGCTCGTTGCTGTTGCCCTCCGATAAGGCCGCACTCCACTGTATCAATGCCTCCTCCGCAAGGCGGCGTACACTGGCTGGGTCGGAGACGGGCTACTGAGCGTTCGCCCACCCTCCGCGGATCTTGCGGCAAGAACGTGTATCGGGAATGCCGACAGCTCTTTGAACTATGGCCTTAACATCTGTGCTGAGCGGGGTATCTAATGTCCTGTACGCCAACCACTCTGTCAGTTGCGGATGCGCTGATTACAGTCATTGAAAACGAGCGACTCATGCCCCCGTTTGCTATCCCTTCGCAAACGCCTCGAGACGGCGCTGTCAGCCTACCGCTCACGAAGACATTCTCCTTATTTCGACTTTACTGGACAGGCTATCAGAGTAGCTTCCATTCATAGCGACGGGAACGCTGGAGATACGCGTTAAGCGTTGTACGGCATGAATAGCCGGCTCTCATGGCGACCTTCCGTCGACATTCTCCAACTCTTGGCTCTCTCACTCATGAAGGCATGCCTTCCACCAAGTCCCTTGGGGCACACAGATCTGACGGACCGGAATAAGGTAGGTAGATTTCTCCTTGCATAGTAGAAGAGCAAGATGCTCTCAGCAGCGGAAACAGCGCCGCCACCATAGGTCCCTTGCATGTGATATGCAATATTCGCTATGTAACGTCCATTCAAGTTTGGTTTACACAAGAACGCTTCCAACTACAGCGAGGCTTGTTATACATCGGACGTGATATGTGTGCGTGGGCATGTTTATTCATACATCAGCGCTGGAGCAGCCACTGCTAGCTAGTCATTCTGTTTTATTGCGGCTTTCCCTCATGCACCTGCCTTTACCAAATTAATTGGCCGCTACACCACAACCGAACCGTCAACATAGTCCTCAGACACCACCTAGGTCGTCGGCATCCTTAGACGATCTGGCCACGGTATATGTGCATCCGTCCCTTAAGCCTCAACAATTTTGTGTAAGACTGGCCTATAGATAACAGCGACAATGGCTCCCGCCTTCGCCGCGGCCTGACTGATCTCCGAAACGATACCTCGGCTCTCTTTCATTAACAACGATGCTCTCCTGCAACCCCCAGTCTTAGCGCTCTTTCCGCCGGCGTGCACAATATCCGCACTCACCCGGCAAGTCAATGATTAGTCGGAGGTTCAACAATAGTAAATGGTACAATTCCTGCAAGGATGGTGAAAGCAGAGGCGGAACCCGTGTATCAGCTTCATCATCATGCAGCCTGGATGAGCATCCCGAAGTTAGAGGAAGAACCAATGATGCATGAGGTCGGTTCTCCGTCGCGTCGTCGTGAAGAGCGGGAAGAGAAGTCGCAGATGTGCAGGTGATATGCACGCTGGTAACATGCAGGACGTCGCCTGAGATCTTGGTTGTACAGTAGGGCTTACGTCTTGGCTTGTTGCAGCATGCCAGTTGCAGTGGTCCTGCATGGATTATATTCCTACAACAGTCCTTACACAAGGAGTCTTCTTCATGCTAGCACCTCTTCCTACTGCTCTTTACCAAATCAGTTGACCACTGTATCACAAAGTTCAAAGCGACCCCGTCAATGTAGTCCTGTATTCTCGAAGGACATCTGACTTACCCATCCACGACGTACTCCCCGCCAGTCATATAGCTCGCGTAGTCCGATAGGAGCAAGACCGCCTGGCCAGACATCTCTTCCGGCTTTATTGAGGTGCGGACAATCAACAGTATGAAGTGTGCGTTGGCAGATCAGACGAACCTTGGCAAACCGCTTGAGTGGCACATTCTCAGCCTGGTACTTCTTGACCTTCTCGTCCATACCAGCCGTCTGATCAGTGTCCACTGGATGCTATACGCATCAGTACTCGGCAGCTACTACCCGCAAATGACGTTGACACGCACCGTATCCTGGGGAGAGCGCGTTTACTCTGATCTTGTGCTCGGCCCACTCAGCGGCAAGACCTTTGGTCAGATTCGTAACCGCTCCCTTCGACGAGTTGTAGAAGATCTATTGCCATGCATGGGATTAACGGCATCTCCCATACTGTAGACCGCTCAATGCTTACTTGAGTTAGAGGCTGATTAGCCCCGACTTGGTTGATGATCTGCGAGGACATTGACGATGTGATGACAACAGAGCCTCCCTGAGCCTTCCGGTCAACCCAGAGCCTATGGATGAGTTCAGTAAGGAAGCAAGATCAACTCTGCCGGCTATTAAGACTCACTTCGCAGCAGCTCGGGCGCTATTGAAGACTCCGAGGACGTTCACAGTAAAAACTTTATTGAAGTCCTCCGTGGTCATCTCGAGCGCGGGCTTGACGACAGAAACACCCGCATTCTACAAAAGATCTATGTTAGCGAAAGTCGTACAAGAGCGCCTCACAGGGCTTACAGCGACGAGACCAGTGATGGGACCCATCTCATCGTCTATCTTGGAGAAGGTCTTGTTGACGGTGTCAGCATCGGAGACGTCGCACTGGTACGCCTATATACGGTGGATATATGCGTTACTTCACAGCCTGTATGCGTCTATCCGGACGACACACCTTCGTCTTCACACTGAACTCCTTCCCGATCTTCGAAGCGACCTCGTCGGCATCCCTTGACGATCTAGCCATAAGTATATGCACGTCAATCCCCTTGCAAGCGTCGACTGTTTTGTGAAGACTGACCTGTAGATAATGGCGACGCTGGCTCCTGCTTTCGCTACAGCCCTACTGATCTCTAAACCGATGCCACGATTCCCTCCAGTAACAACGATGCACTTCCCTAGAAGTCACAACCTTCTCAGCGCTACCTCCTGGACACCCGGAATGTCCGAGGCTTACCAGCAAAGTCAATAACGAATCCTCCAGCCATGGCAGACGTGGTTCAAGTTATTCAGTGGTAAAATTCCTGCACGGACGATGAGAGCAAGGCGAGATGGGATGCCTGTGCTGTTTTGAGAGCCATTATATACCATCCTCGAGGAGCACCACAGTCAGCCTGGAACTTGAAGTCAGAGCAAGCAGCAATGATGGGTGAGGTCATTCCTACGTCGCGTCTTTTGCGAGAGGATGAGTAGTTGATGGTATATTTATGAATTAAACGGCCTACTATATGGGCATTTGGCACAGTGGTAGCGCGCACGCTTCGCACGATGATTATCATCAAGTCTGCGTGAGGTCTAGAGTTCGATCCTCTAAATGTCCATCATTGTTCGTAGAACATTCTATTAAAAGCTCAGCCGAGTTGCTTTGTATCTTGCTTGATCCAGCACATCTCTCCCGGGAGCACTGACGTCGCATGGTAAGGAGTACAAGCTCCTTGAGTGGCCTTTTGGTTACCGAGTACGCATGAAGGATGGCAATTTTGTTAGATCTAACAACTTGCCGTCAGAACCAGTGCCTTTCATATGCGCTCTGCATAGCATAGGGGGAGCTGGTACAAGTGAAAATCATATGGGCATGCATAGTGGCATGAGAGTGTAGGCAAAAGCAACAAAGTCCCCGACGGACCGCCCTTCCAACGCCTCCGAAGATATTTACTCAACGACCACCGTTTGGAGGCCCTGCGGGTTCACAGCCGCTCAGTGCGGTGAAACAGAAGAGCAACTTGCGGGACATACCTTGAATGTTGCAACGGGGACGTACGTGGCGTACGTGAAGAGCTTCTCCTTCGCGTTCTCGTCGTCATTACGTTTCCCTGCAAGCAGTGTCATCAGCTTTCTGCTCCGACTCCCTCATCCCGATCTGTCCTCTCCCCCTTCCTCTTCCTCCCGACACTCATAGAGATAGCATCGATCACCACTCACGCTCAAGCTTCACCCGGATACGATGCGGCACGTTCTTGATACCCTGCTCCCACAGCGCCTGGTTGAGCTTCGGGTCAACTCGGACGTCGGACGTGCCCATCGCCTTCTGCGCAAAGTCGACGACGGACTTGACCGCGCGCGGCGCCCGCTTTTTGAAACCCATCCCGAAGACGCGCTTGTGCAGGTGGATGGTGTACTCCCGGGTCACGACATCCTGGAGGGCGGAGCGAGTCTTGCCGCCAGTCTATACATTCATCCAATTAGCCTTCGTAGCTTCATGGGTCGGACATGCCAGACCGCACCTTTTTCTTCTGGGAGGTTCTAGGGGCCTACAGGGACTCAGCATGGATCCATCAACGAGGACAACAGCAACGCACCATGTCTTGAGGATGTCGGGGTCGGTGAGATCAGTGAAGTCTGTATGTTGCGCGAAGTTGCAGCCACCTAATGCCAAATGCGGCCAAATAAGATAAAGTTTGCGCGGGCTGGCATGGTACTATACAGTCCTCGGATTTAGCCGGTCTATCCTACGGAATACACAATTGGTACTGGCGGCATCGACAAGCTTCAAGAACCAGGTGAGTGTATGCGTTGTGCGAGGTTGCTCGACGTATTGCCGGATGATGCTGATGGTGCTCCGATTGTCCTAGGTCCCTTCACTTAGAGTGAGTTTCCCAGCTTTGTACGTTTCCTTTGACGGGTGCAATATCGGGATGGCTTGGGTGGGCGCATGCTGGGCTGGGAGTACGTGGGGATGGTATTGCGATATGGAGGGGCTGACCATCGGAGAAACGCGCGCCGTCATATGCAGGAAGATCAGCAGTGAGAACTATGTTCACTGACTTCGCTTCTGTCATCTAGTCGCAATGGCCCAACGAGTCACCCTCCGCAAGCGCACGCCCTACAATACCACTTCCAACCGGCGGCGTGTGGTCAAGACCCCCGGTGGCAAGCTTGTCTACCATCACATCCGCAAGCTCGCGTCCTCGCCCAAGTGCGGTGACTGTGGAACTGCTCTCCCTGGTGTATGCATCATACGCCGTGTATTGTGAGTGGCCACGCTTATAAGCTGCATGTAGATCCCCGCTCTCCGCCCCCGCCAATATGCCACCATCTCCAAGCGCCAAAAGACCGTCAACCGGGCATATGGCGGGTCAAGATGCGGTGACTGCACTAAGCAACGGTACGTCGCAGCGTTTCTCTGCCACTTCTCTTACTAATGGTCGTGTTTTTACAGCATCCTCCGTGCATTCCTGGTCGAGGAGGCAAAGATTGTCAAGCGGGTGATCAAGACCCAGCAGCAGGCGGCAAAGAGGAAGTAGACTACTTCCTAGCTTCCGAACGGAGACGAGGAGGGTCTGCTTTCGTTGTGCTATCACTATCTCCACTTTTATGGCGACTACTATGTGTCCATGTATTCTGGCAAAAATGTGACTGGTGATGTCGGTATGCGACATGTTTGCCCCGCAAGGAGGCACGCCCGAGTCATTGCGAGTGTGCGCTGTTGTTCCCTCTGGTCGGGCCTCTTCGTGCGGAAGTCTATCACCTATCTGCCCAAGGATACATCTTTAGCAGAGCAGAGCGCATATACAGCGCTTGTTGGTTGAATATGACCAGTTTGGTAGGTGACTTGCCTGTTCGGGTACGTGAATGCGTCTCGCCATCGGCTTGTCCTCTATCCTGTTTCCTCTTTGTCTGCAACGGAAACCACTTCTGTCCCTACTGTGCCTGTCGTTCAATGCTATGTCTGCGAGTCACTGAATAAGCGCTAAGCCCTGGGCAGTCTTACTGCATCTCGAATAGCCGCCAGTTGCATCCATAAACCCGCTTGCTATCCACGTGTTCTCTACATGATCATCATGGCTAATATGAGTCGCTCTACATAATAAGCAGACGGCTATGGGAAACGTACTAAGTCTCCCCTCGTGATGTTTACCTCAATCCATTTAACTTCGTAAGTCGCAACTCTCGCTCAATCTCCATCAGCTTGTACATCTCCCATAGATCCACCTCATTCAGCTCATGTCGAACAGTCCAACAATTGATCCGGTACGCGATCTTTGCGGCTTGGAATAGAGAAGATGAGATACCAGCTCGAGTCCGAGCCCAAGTAGTACACTGGAACCTCTGCCCGGTGAGACCTCGCGTCGAATTATAGACGCTTATTTCACCGCTTGACTGCAGCGAAGAACTCGACCTTGTTCATTCGAGCTAAAGATGCGCGTGAAATCGCACAAGAACAGGCATCGCCGTGTGTAAATCGCGGTTCAGGCAACGGGTCCTTCTGGCTTCCATTTCCGGAACAAACGATTGTGCCTCTTGATGCAGTCCGCGCAGGCATGCCTTTTGCCCTCAAAAGGCGCTCCCCTTCTGCACTTTGCGACCGCTCCCGTTCGGCTCCGCCTGGTGCGCTCAAAGACGAGTCAGCGTAACTGCCAGTGCGTAAAACACCTCAGGAATACAAGACACAATCTCCTGCGAACGGTAACGGAGATAGCTCTGTCATGCTTGCCCAGGAACACCGAGGAGCTCCTCTCACGCAAGGAGGCGAGGAACGCTTCCCGACCTTTCAGATGCCCAAGATTGGAACGTATTGTGTTCATCAGAATGCTATAATGGGGGCGGACGAGCCCCGTTGTCGCACCACTATAAAGTCTTCCATTGTCTGACTGTCTGCTGCTCACACCTCTCTCGGGTTTCATTACCTCTCACTGCACTGTCCGCTTTCTTCGCCTTCCAGGCCACTGCAGTTACCTATAGCTATCTATCAATACCCTAAGTTATCATCATGCGCTGCACATTCGCACTCGTCGCCCTCTCCTACGTCTTCGCGGTCGCGTCCGCCTCGCGTGTCGCGCTCTTCGCCCGCCAGTCATTGCCCAGTAAGTCTCTAGTATCGTTTTCAGCAACGTCCCCTCATTATTCATCTTCCAGGCTGCGCAACGAGCTGCCTGCTGAACGCCAACACGGGCAGCTGCTCGCAGAACGACGACGTCTGCCTTTGCAACTCGCAGGCCTTCATCAGCAGCACCACGACCTGCATTGAGCAGTCGTGCCAGGGCAACGACCTCACCAACGCCGAGTCCGCCGCCCAGCAATTGTGTGCCGCTGTTGTGAGTTGTGGGCTCCCTTGCTTTACCCGTATCAGACGGTCTGATTGGAACTATTCTACCGGAAATTTAGGGTGTGACGCTCAGTGCGGCCTCCGCGACGCCCTCGGCGACTGCCCCTGCTAGCTCTGGTTCAGGCTCATCCTCAGCCTCTGCCACTACTTCTGCACATGATTCCTCCGCTTCGTAAGCTGCATTCCCGAATTGTCTCGGAAGACCTTACTCACAGCCCTTGTTGTAGGCAAACTGGCACCACCAGTGGCGCCATGACGCATAGTGTGAACATGGTAGCTGGTCTCGCCGCCGTCGGCCTTGCCGCCCTGGCACTCTAAAATACCCCTATACCACCTTACCTCTCGACCCGATGCCTGAGGGAGACATTGGCTGGTTCGTTCATATCCCTCGCCTTACGCGTTGCGCCTGCTCTCTCTTGGCTATTTATTTTATTCGTCTTGTGATATATTACCTGGAATACATACTGTATAAACTGTCCTTGGTCTGGTTCACTGAAAACATGCAAACTCGAATATCGCCCATTGGATAGACTGGAATCCACTGTCGATTGAATGATATCCCGATGCATCTCATTCACACTATGTCGATTTGTCGATGATCTTCGCTGATATCATGATTCTGATGAGCTACTCAGAATACCGTCCCTGCGGTGTCATGGAACGGATGTAAATCATGATTATGATCCAGATGGCGTTCCGGTCTCTCGAACGAGATTATTACTCACCTCCTTCAGACTGTGGAATGCACAGACTGTTGTGAACAAAGATGCCGCCTAGGATCAGACCGCTGTGCAAGCTTCAAGAGCCAGAGTATCTGGCGCCACTGCGGTCAATCCAGGGTCTATCCTGTGCCTGGGTATCTCTTCAGAACATCCGCCGAAAGCTCGATGCCGTAGGCTCCGACAAACTTTGCAGGCGCCGGACCTCCCGAGGAAAATCAAATATTAATATCCAAGAACCATTATTGATATTGTCCACCAGACCAGCATTACAGCCATGGGAGTGCGACTGCAAGGCCTACGTGGTCTTCTTTTTCTTCTTCGCGGCCTCCTTCTCGAGCCGCTCCTTCTCTTTCTCCTTGGCCGCCTCTTCCTTCGCGATCTCGTGCGCGCGATCGTTCAGGCCCAGCCTGTTTCTGCAGATCTGTAACAACGAACATTGTTCAGTAGGAATGAGCTAAGCAGCGGTAGTAGAAAATACTTACCTCGTACGCGTAGAACTGTATTCTCGTGACTGCAAGAGCTCCGTCAGCTGGGTCATCATCCGGATTGAGAC